TTAGTCAATAAGAAAGTCAAACTGGTGAACACTGAAGTCACAATTTAGAGTAGTCCTTGAGAGTTCTTTAGAGATGAGAAATCTTTCTTGAGACTTTATTTAGCTTTTGCTTTTCCATCAACCACATTAAGTGAAAGGGCATTATATAGAGCAAGTCAGAAAGACACCTGGGTATACTGAGTTCAGGGCCAGGTGCACCTGGTTTCCATCCCTGGGAAATATCCCAATCACAGCTATGGTTTAGAACCCTGGCTTTCACAGTGACATTTATTACATTCATAACTTGGGAAATTGTCCCCATATCTTGAAAGAGCAGTTTTACTTTGCATCTCCAATTTTTTTTTTTGGTGTCATTTCAGTGAAGATTATTTATTTGTATATCCTGAGAATAGTTAGCCAGATGGTGAGAGTGTGTGGCTTGCATCTCTTCTGGGTGTCCAGGGAAGACATAGCCCAATAAAGATAGAATCAGTAGTTGTAGGTACCATACAAAGTGGGTACTGCTCATAGATGATAACTGAATGACTGTAGCTTTTTGTAATTGTTACCTTCTGACCCCATCCAAAAAGAAAAAAATAAGTGAATGTCAGCTTAGAGGAATAGAAAGAGCACTAGATTGGGTATCTGAAGACATGGATTCTAAATCTGACTCTACCTCTTCCAAGTATGGGACTTAGGATAGCTAACAAATCATGCTGGGCCTTGTGTTCCTTACCCACCAAAAGGAGGAAGATGAGACTCTATATTCATTTATGGCCCTTCCAACTGTGATAATCTATAATTCCTTGTGCCAAAAACCCCCTCTCAGCATCATCGTAATAGATTTCTTTTCCAAACATCAAAGAGCAGGGTATTTACATCACTTTGATTTATAGGGGACTCAAGAGGTTTTCTATGGAGAGAATTTACCCAAGGTCTTTTTGTTTATGTTCCCTTTCATAAATCAATGGAAAAACAAAATTTCCTAGTTTACTCAGGTATACATTTCCCTAAACAGTAAGAAAGATTTATTAAAAAGTTCCTGCTAAGTCACTGTAATGAAAATTCTTTTAAAAATTCTTATGGTATTTTTCAACAAAAGTGAGGATGAATGAAGAAAATAGAGAAATGTTTCTTACAACAGAGTAAGATATTATGAGCATATAAAATCAAAGGCTGCCAATTTGATATGGTTTTTATAGGTTGTTGAAGTTTCCATTTTCACAGAAACGTTTCTCCATCAGCCTGAGTCCCATCATTAAAATTCATTCCCTTTATTTACTATTTTAGGAAAAGACAAAGGAGGCCTCAAATATAAACTACTATAATATCTTAGTAACTTTAATATTAAATAAGGACTTTACATAACCCTCTAAAGATGACAACTTTCACACATATTATCACATGATGAGAAAATCGAGACTGGGAGATTAAATGACTTGTTCAGGGTTATCTAGGTAGCAAGTAGTAGGACCAGAACTAGAACCCAGTCTCCTAAGATAAGCCAAGTTCTCTTTAGCCAATATTCTCTATGGAAAGAGACTGCATGAGATGGGAGGTGGGGCTGTGGGGCTGAGGCCTCTGAAGACATACTGACCAGAATTCAAATTTTGATTCTGCTATTTCTTTGCTGTTTGACATGAAGCAATAACTTAAACTCATTTTTGTTCTCTGTAAAAGTCAAGAATAAGAATATCATATAAATAATATAGGGGCAATAACATACATAAAATGCTTCGTGTTAATAGTGCATAGTACTAATCTTTTTGTTTTTACTACTCGATGTAATTTTAATCTTACAACTAGGTTGAGAGAAAGAATAGGAATATAAAGATACTTTAATGAGAGGCACTCTTTTTTTTTTTATGTACCTTCCATTTCAGCTGTAATAGTTGTTTTCATTTTATCTTATTTCACATTCTTCCTTGAGTCTGCATGTGCTATCTATCCCCTACCAGGAGTGCCCTTCCTCATCTCTTGACTTTCTGATGACTGCCTACACATTCCTTCAAGCTCCAGCTCCAGAGTTATCTCCTCTTTCATACTTTCTCTGATGCCATAGGCTGTTCTTGTGACATTCACATAGAACGCAAATTCCCTTTTAAATATTTATTAAATGCCTCCTGTGGGGCTAGGGAACTCTGCTAGGGCAACATGGGAGCACTTCACAGAACTGATCTAATTTTATTTGTTTCTGTTCGTAGTTCCCACATGTCGGGATTTTATAGAACTTTTCCATTTAAAAAGTGAGGGCTAATGTAAAGTTGCCAACTTTTAATTTTCTAAGTAAGGATATAATAAACCACCACACAATAAATGGCATTTGATACCTTAATATAAAATCTCAGGATAAAAAAAATTAATAGATTAAGATTTTTGGAAACTTCATAGAGGGGGCCTGCATTATCAGCAAACAAGCCTTGGGGGATTCACTAGTTGAAATATATTTTGTCCTGGTTTGATAGTTCTTAGAGATTTTTTTCTCTCATTCAATTTTACATTCCTAGTGCATTGCTCTCTGTCTAGTAGGAAGTAGTCAATAAATATTTATGAATGAGGCAGTGACTTTGCCTCTGAGCAAATACATCTGAGATCCATGGTAATGCCTGCGGCACAGAGCACCTGTGAGAGGACATGGTAGTAGTGAGAGAGTAGTGGAGCTGTATGTGTCCTGATATAATTTACTTCAAAAGTTTCTCAGGCCCCAGCCATTCAGAAGATTTTTGCAGAGTTATAAGTGAAATTGTCTTGCCAGAGGACAAGAAGGAGGTGGGGCAAGAAGTAAGGTACTGAGGCAGAGCACTGTAGGTAGAAATGGACTCTCTTCCTGGGGCACCATTTAAAATATTACAAGTGACATCTTAGGTGGATTAAGAATTATAATAAGTATAGATATAGTAAATAGATAACGTTCATTTAACATTCATTGTGTCAGGCACTGTTATGTTATTTGTGTGCATTATGTCATTTAAACATTTCAACAACCCGTTCAGGTGATGTGATTACTATTCCCATTAGACTGATGAAGAAACTGAGGCTTGCGGTGGTTGAATGATTTGCCCAGCATCACACAGTTAGCCAGTGGTAGAAGTAGGTCTCAGTCCTGATACACTTTTCTTTAGAGTTTACCAAAACTCTTGGATCCCTTTCTAGCCACATATTTCCACAATGAGCAAACTTTTATATGACTTGTCATTCCTTTTTAAAATGAAGAGAAAGTGAAAATGTTTCTTTCTAGCCAGGATTTTAAAGCTCGTAGGGTATCCAGTTCTTTCTACTGAGAAGCTGTGCGAACTGAAGCAAGTTCCTGAACATCTTCGGGCTTCAATTTCTACATCTCTAAAATGAGGAGGCAAGCCCTCCTTTCTGTGTTTTTGGGAGTATTGGATGGATAGCATATGTAAAATAGCTATCAAAGGCTGTGACTTATAAAGGGTGTTTCATAATGTTCATTCACCAAGGGCACTAGTAAGATAAAATATTTTTGGTTTAAAATCATATTAAATATTAGAGATAGGATGAGAGCAAATAGGTCATTACTCTGGTGAATAAAGATGCCTATATACACACAATTTTTGAAGAGCCATGAGGATTCTCTTTTCTGCACCCTCATTTCAATAAGGACATAGGGATTAGACATTTCAGCATAGGGGTAAGTTTATATTTGATTTACAGCACTGATGCACATTTGCGGCATCTCAATATTCCATTCCTTGACTATAGATATAACAAGCTACTTCAGCAAACCTGAAATGGCAAGATAAATGGAAAATGCTTAATCATTTAAAAAGAAATAGCAAAGAAATGAAAAGACCAAAGCATGCATGGGTACCAGTGAGACAATTTAAGCACAGGAAGTCTATACTCTACTTTTTGAAAGATTGACAAATGGTTTCATTAAATAGTCAGGATATAAAATCAAAAGAGTTCATCTCTAGTATTTTTACACACAAACACTTTCAGAAAAAAGTGTACATATCTATATGCAATCTCATTTTGGGAAAAAGTATTGTTCACTGAGAAAAGCAAGTTGCAGAACAACGTGTTAAATACGAACTTATTGGGTTTGTATAAACATGGAGAAGGCATGAACAGTTCATGACGGGATGTCACATTGGGAACCTCAAGACTGGTTGCCCTGAGGGGAGTTTAGGGTGAGAGGTTTGTTTCTTGAACATCTTTGCATTATTTCGCCAAATGCAATGAGTATAGATTACACTGGAACAAAAACAAAGATATAAAAGAAAAAATTTTTTTAGTCTTTATTTACCCATTAATTTATTAATTATTCAATATTTACTGAGTCCTCAATAGTAATACTAAAGATTGGTCCTCTCTGTGAATTGCCAGACTTTTTCAGAGGCATGCTGGCTAACTGTGGTTTTACTTTGTGGGGTTAGCAGTGTGATTCTGAGCTCTGTCCCCAAATCCTATTCTGTTCCCCTTGAGAATTAACAGGGCATATTAAATTCAAGCCACATGTAGTTAATGTCACTCCTTTCCCTTCCACTTGGAGTTATTGCACCAGAGAGAGGACTGATTGACTTCCCAATTCCATTGAATTGTGGGTGGCCATTGGTGGCAAGAAGTGGAATTTATAGTCGAAAGACGAGAGTTTCAGGCCTGACCGCTCCGTTGACCAGACATGCAATATTGGTATGCTACTGCTTCGTTTTGAACCTCAGCACCATCTTCTCTCCTCAAGTAATAATATCTTTCTTAGGGTATGGCTACAAAGCTCAAGTAGGATCATATATTGAAAGTCTTAAAAAACGGCAAAGTGATGGATAAGTATATATATTACTATTTCTCCACCAAGAACTTGTGCTTTCACTTCCTAACAGAGGACTATGACACAAGTTTACAAGTATTTGCCTATTTCCACCAGAAGCAAGGCTATATGAGTTTGAATGGCTCTCAGAAGTTCCAGTTAGCCCCAAAGCAACAACTGACACATCAGGCAAATACGACTTCTTCGTGGTCATGATCACAAACCCAATTAACCAACAAACATATCTGACCTGGTGTAATCGTCTTCAACAAGCATGTGCTTTGGAATTGGTGAGTACCTTCCTGGAGAGATGGGCGGCAGGGAGGTTTTATATTCTAAAGTGCCATTGTTGCCAGAAAGTAGATGGTTTTCCATTGGTGGAGAATATGCTAAGAGGTGAAAAAAGAAAAGAAAAAAAGTCCGTTATGTGGGTGGTTCGATAGAAAGGCTTCGCTACATGCCAAGGGTTTTCTTGTCCTCCAGGAGGGGGCGAGCCACTGTTTGTCTGCATTTAATATGTATAAGCATATAATAACCTTCCGGATTGGAAAGATGTAATAGCACTTATATCTGTAAGGCCAGTCAGTGTAATTAGGTGAAGGGAAGAATTGGAGGAGAGATTTAGCAACATGCTTTCAGAACAATGATTAATTTTTCTATTGAAATAAAAGTGTTAGCTTTCTAAGTACAGAGCGTACATTCTTTTCACATAGTTAATGTCCAATCACCAGAAGCAGAAGGCTTCTATGAACAAGTTCTTGTATAGACTTTTACCCCAAAATATGCTGTATTCACACCCCAGAAAGACTAAAAACTCTGGTCTTTCTTTTCTATTCACCCACCCTAACTCATCTCCCTTTTGGGAGACTGAAAATCGCTCTTAACTAGGCCTCCTGCCCGCCCCCCCCCCTCCATTTTATACACCGAGAACTGGGAATTCCAGTTCTGACCAGGGGGTTCTCTAGTTTAAATGCTCTTCATTGCCATGATAGTACTGAATATTTGCTCTTCCTTTCACCTTTCTTACAAGATTGGCCCATTTCAAATCTCCCTTACACATGTCCTATGGCCCCTAAATGAAACCTGTTTTTCCCAACATCTGGACCTTTGTTCCACTGTATTAACTTCAACAATTTCTGCCTCCTGTCCCATCTCTGATATAAAATCTCATCCATTCTTCAGGATAAAATTCAAATGCCACCTTCCGCATAAAGATTTTTTTGATCTTCAAAGACACATGATATCCCATTCCTTTGAGTGCCCCAAAGACATATATTTTTTACCTCCTTCCTAGCATATACATCTTTTTATTTTGCCACATGTGGTTGCTATTTATATATCTGAATTAGTCTTCCTTCCAATGAAAACCATGATTGTATCTCCTTTGTATCCCACCTATATTACCTTACGTGATGTTTTACATATATTAAAGTTACTCAATACATATTTCTTGATTTTGTTTTCTCTCTTCGACATTGACCTTATATGCCCTTCACAAAGTGGCTCACAGAGTCTCAAGGCTGATATTTCTAAGTTCATCCAGTTTGAAAAACTTTGAAGTTCAAGCTCTTTCATAGCCTAAGGTAAGACTGATCTCAGATTACTGCCTGCTTGAAAAAAAGACATATTTTGGGGCAAGTCATTTTAGAATCACCACTAAGAAAAGCAATAGCTAACTTAATGGGCAGGTAAAATTATCCGACCTTTAAATTTCTCTCAAGAGAAACATCTAAATCTAAGAGAGGTTAACTGACTTGCTTAAGACCATAGTACTAATTAATGGTAGGTCCTGAAGACATTCTGAGTTTCCAACCCGACAACTGGTTCCTCAAAATCTCAGAATGAGAAAACTTACTGATGTGAACAAAACTGCCTCTTAAACTTAAAAAAAAAAAAAAAAAAAAGAGTTGCTTCAAAATTTAGTCCCTGAAGACAGAACCTTAGGTAAGATTCTTGTCAACTTACTAAGAAGAGGAGACACGGGGCAGCACAGTGTCTCATAGTTATCGCCCGGTAAACCCCCACCTCCAACCCCTTTCTACTGCCATAGTGACTGGCAATTTTCTCTGGCTTCCTACCAATATAAGAAATTCTGGTAAAGTAAGAGCTGTGATGATGGTGATTAAGGACCATAATCTCACCATTCAAATACAAGGTTCTCTCTCCCAGGAAGAAGCATAGTATTATCCTGGGTCTATTTTGCCAGCCTCTCTTTCCCACTCTGCTACTATATAGATTTGAGCTAGGAAGAGAAAATATTATGGCATAAGAGCTATTATGCTTTAGGGACTTCAAAAATAGCCCTTAAAAATGAGTTGCCCCTATGTTATTGTAACCACACTGTCTACACCATACATTATTAGGCCCTTCCATAGTGGCGGACCTGCCAAATCATTAGGGTGTCTCACCTCCAAAACACTAGCTAAAGCCCTGTAAGGCAGCGAGGGAGTAAAGTGCAGGATCCCTCTGAAGTATTCCTGCAGGCTGAACAAATGCGGAGCTACAAGCATAGGACTTTGCCAACTGTTGCAGAATTCCAATCTCACAAACCTGGCATGCTATTTGAAGATGACACGGAGTGTGGTACTTACAGTGAGTAATATCAGGTGGGCCGTAAGGATCAGTCATATAAATGGTGGTGGGTTTGCCAACTTTTAGATAAACTACATCTGACGTGTTCTTCAATATTGCTACTGCCTCTTCGTGTGTTACTTCTTCCAGACTGTAGTTGTTTACCTGAGAGGTGAAAACATTCAACATTAGAGTCAAATCTATGCAGGCGAAGAGAAATACTCAGGCAAGAAGGTACATAGAATTTGATCTGATTTAAAGATTAAATTGCAATGATTACAGTGCAGTATCTCTATCATACTTTGACAGAACAGGCGGATTGAGGGCATTAGGCAAAGCAGATAAGGTACAGCTGTTGATGCTGAAAAGTAAGGTTGCTTCTGCCTTTTTCTGTGATGAAGCAACACATCATAAAGGCGAGCAGAACACTCTTTGTGGAAAAAGGAAAGCAGCGGTCAAATGTCTTTCTTATTATGCCATAATATTTGTGATTACAGAAGTAATTCATCTTTATTGAACTAAAAAAAAGAAGAAAATAAAAATTATCCATAACCTCCCTATTTGAATATATTTCTCTAAACAGTTCTGACCATATTATACACATTGTTTTGGAATCTGCTTTTTAAACCTAGAGAGCGCATTTGTTTGTATCTTGAATGTACTTCGACAATATGATTTTTGTTTTCTACAGAGCAGTCTTGCCTGACTATAACAATGATTTCACTAATCTCTTACTGAAGAGTGTTTAGTTTGCTTCTAATTTTTTTTCCAGTATAAGTAATGTTGAAGTAAATCTTTTCTGTATTTGTGTACAACTTTGATAATTTTTTCAGGATAAATCATACAAGTAGAATTGCTGGACCAAACTGCATGAATAAGGCCTCTGATACCTACTCCCAGCGTGCCCTCTGCAAACAAGGACCAGTTTACTCTTATACCAACTATAGGAAAGCCCCATTTTCCTACAGATTCACCAAACCTGGCTTTTCTCACTTTAAAAAGCGTACCCATAAAATGTCTCATTTAACATGAGTCAATTTTCTAAAGAAAGAGTGCTGATGTTGGGACCTAGGGCTTGGCAGGTGAGCAAGTTCAAGGGTACACTATTGCCATGGGCTTTCACAGCAACTCCTCTTCGTTTATTGGACAGAAAAACCTTGGGACACCAGCGCAGTTATCACTCCATGGCACTGGCAGGGCAGCGGGTCTCGGCAGTGCTTCTCTTCAATGGTTTTAAAATATTCAGGAAGTATTTTAAATACCTAGGTTATTCTTATTTGGCTACTATTTCATTGTGACATTATTCTTTAATAAGTTTCTGCTGAAATAATGTAGAATTAAATGAATGTGCCAAGATTAGATCCCTACATATTTTCTGTACTATCTGGTTAGCACGTTAGTCACAAAATACCTTTCAGCATTGCTTTTTTTTTTTCTGGCCTCATGTTGTTATATAAATTCCATGTGCCACTTAATGCTTGCTGGTGTAGCCCACATTAAGGACCCTGGAACTGGAGGAAACTGAACCTGACTGAAGAGTATGAATTCTGACTGTGGACTCTCCAGTAAGCTGTAAGCATCTCAATATGTTCCTGTGATTTTTTCTAGACAAGAAACATTTTCTTAAATTCTTTTGTGCTTCCAATGCCTAGTACTTGTTCATTCATTGGTCAAATGTTTATTGAATACCTATTATGTGCCAGTCACTGTTCTATGTATTAGAGATATAGCAAACAATAAATGATAATCATAGTAGACACAGAGCTTGTATTCCACATCAGGCACTGATCTAAATTATTTTACATATACTAACACAACCAAACCTCACAACAACCTGTGAGGTAGCCATTATAATTATCTTCATTTTACAGGTGAGAAAAGCATGTCTCCAAGAGGTTAAGAAACCTGCCCAAAGTCACTGATCTAGTAAGTGGTAGAGGCAGAATTAAAAACCAGTCAGTTTGGCTCCAGAGATCACACTTTAAATACTCATCTGTATTACTTCTTCCAGACAGACAAGGTCCCAGTTTCCCTGAAACACATTCTAATACATTCTTCTTCTTCTTTTTTTTTTTTTTTAATATGACTTTATTGATTTCAGAGAGAGGAAGGGAGAGAGAAACATCAATGATGAGAGAGAGTCATTGATCGGCTGCCTCCTGCACACCCCCTACTAGGAACCAAGCCAGCAACCTGGGCATGTGCCCTGACCAAGAATCGAACCAAGATCTCCTGGATCATAGGTCGGATACTCAACCGCTGAACCACACCAGCTGGGCTCTAATACATTTTAAGGACACAGTTGTTTATGGAATGAATGGATGGAATAGACCCATGGAGAAACTGAAAATGTAGAGGTACTACAAATATGGGAAACACAATTGATCATGGCAGACCTTATGTATAAGAAAAATAACAACAATAATAATAAGAGCTAACATTTAAAACCTACATGTTGTATGTTTTTGGTGTTCTATGTATATGTTTTGACATAAATCATATAACTGATCCTGGTTACAGCTCCACTAGGCAATATTAATAATTAGGTCCATTTTACAGATGAAAAAATTTATGTTTAAAGATATCTGCTTGTGACAAAGAGGTCACAGAGCCTCCAAAGGGCAGAGGCATCAGTTACATTACAGTCCTCCTGAAAAATGAAAATGAGACTGCCCTTAAGTGTTGATTCATTGAAACCCATGGCTTACATCATCTATTCTTTCTCCCTTGAAGAGACAGAGTCTCCTTCCAAGCTGACATATAGAAGTAACATAAATTCCGAAGTGTTATATAAGCCTGTGTAATCAGTAAGCTTCTTGCTTAATCCAGTCACCACTATATTGGTGGTGACTATATTGCATCATCCAAATACACTGACATAGTTGAAAGATAAATAAGTAAAATGGAATGTAGCTTGCTATATCTGTCTCTTCAAACCTTCTTTTATATATTTGATCACTTACTTTAGGACAGTACCACTTGTACCTGGACAATGACTATTTACAAATGATGCTCATATACAATAGTTTAAAATGTGTATCAAAGTAGATTTTTCTCTCAAAAATTACCTACGGTGGCTCTGAATAGTGTGACCAAGGGCCCCAGAATCACCTATACTGACAAAGCAGAATAGAAAAGGAATTTGTTGGCATAACACAGAGGGGATGGCAAGTCAAGGGATAAACACTGAAAGACTAGAAAGCAACTGGATTAGATTATAAATGGCACTGGAGCTCTGCTTTTAACAAGGGCTCATTCTCTCTCCCCAGGGTACAGAGAGCACACAGCTTATTAGATTACTAGTGAAAAAGACATGTGGGCAATGCTTGTTAAATTGCACTTTTGCCATTTTTAAGGTGGGCAGTGAAACAAGCTAGAAAATGGTACCTTCAAGCACGTTTTCTGAGAATGACTTTGCTGAGAGGCTCTTAGACCACAAGGGAAACCTTTAGACTAGAAAGCACAAATTGAGGACAGGGTGGAGGTGAGAAGTGGGGAAACAGAGGATATTGAAGGAATAATGGTAGTTTTAAATGGCGGTAGGTCAGTCTGTTTTTATTTGCGACAAGGAAGTGTTGGAAGATTTACACAGATTTTAGTCATGGAATAAATGGTATGATATTGGCAACAGGTTGCAGTCATTGAAAACACATGATTTTGTGTCCTGCAGACCAGGATCTGAGTCCTGGTGCTGGTAGTTTCTCAGCTAGCCTCAGTTTTGACATTTGTAAAATAGGTATGGTAATAATCACAGCCTCAAACGAGTATAGATTTAAATGTACTGACCTATTTAAAGAGAAAGGCACATTCAAGTAAGTATTAATAGTAGTTCTTATTAGTATTACTATTGTCATCATCCATCTCTCTTCCCAGGAAACAGAAATTCTTGGTGAAATTTTTTGCTGAGCATTTTCCTGTAAACATCTGTGAACTGATGAGTTTAATTAGGGTACTGTTGATGAGGATTATGTGTGGTTTTTTTTAAAAAAAAAAAATTCAGAATAGTACAGGATCTGGATCAAAAAGTGCTCTTTTGTGCTGAAGTCTTCAAAATGTTTTTCACAAAAGTGGGTTTATTTGGGTTAATTACGTGTGTGCAGTCTATGAACTCTCAAGATAAAAGGCCTACAGCTGGAGCTGATTGTACAAAGACAGAAGGGACATTATACTGATTGGCTAGTTGCTCTTGTCATTGTTGTTATTGTCTTTTTTCTTTTCTTTTGCATTGAGTATCTGCCTATAATAGTGAACACTGAGCAACTGGCCTGGTTTCAGGAAAAAAATCATGTGCATTTGAATGAAGTATTTCCATGGAGTGTGTGTCTGTTACACACGGCAGGGGCAGGAGGGGGTGCATATGTGCAGCTTGTCTGTGTGTCCATTAGGACGTATGCAATAGGACCATACATGGATTGAGGCCAAGAAAGAGAGGGTGGAGGTAAGGTGACTCACTCTCTCAAATAGAGGAGGGAGAGCTGAATTTGAGGACAGTGCAGGTAAGAGAGGGCAAACCAACTGCAGGAAGAGGTACCAGGAGAATTGCTTCAGGGAACATGGCAGGTGGTGAGAATTCTAAAGAGAGTAAGCATATATGTATTTTGATGGTACAAAGATGGGAGGTGTGGGGCATGAGAGGGTGGTGACATGGAGGAATGAACAAAGTACTGATGGTAAGAGCCTGGCCTTTCCATATTCATTCAGGAATAGCTATGCGGAGGGACAAACTGGGAGGTGATGAGGGGCATCAAAGTGAATGCGAGAGTCTAGAAACATTAAAAAAGTTACAAACTCCAAAGTTAGCCTTTTAAAAAGGAGACAAAGTCTTTGACTACTAGGTTGTAATATAAATTTAAAAGGAGACCAATCTAACATAGTAATGTTAATGGTATGAAAACAAATATGCATAAATCAAAAACTAAAATCTCTGCAGTACATTGAAATTAATTCTTGTAGAAAAATTGATTTTTAAAATAACTATGAATAAATAGGAAACACTAATAATGGTTACCTTTGAATAATAAATACTTTATTTTTCTTTTCAGAAATGAGCATGTATTAGTTATTGCTAAAATCAAATTAACTCTATTTTTTCTAAATGAACAAGAACAGAAGTTTAAATAAGAAAGAACATCAACTAAGTGCAGTGGTTGCATTATGAAATACAC